GGCCTGAGTTCAATGCAGAGCCAGGGAGCTAACCCACATATAGCAAAGCAGACCTCTCCTGTCTCACCTGTGGCTCCCCTTAACAGCTTTCAGTAAGTCTGCCTGTTCTGCTCCCTACTCTGTCTCTGATGTGTCCTCTCTTACACACCCCACACACACCTCTGGCCTATACCCCAATTCTTCCACACAAAAATAAATAAAATTTTTAAAAAATAGAAAGACAACCACTTAAAAAAAGAAAAAAATTAAGACTTCAAATGCTAGAATTGTAAGATAAAAATTGTAAAACTGTTATTACTACATGTTTTAAAATGGCATGCTTGAAAATATCTGCAAGTACAGCAAACCACAAAAAGTTATTTGAAAAAGAATCAAATCAAATTTCTAGAAATGAAAACTACAATGGCAGAAAGTTGAAACACAATATCTGCAAATAATATATCTGATAAATATATAAATAACTCATACAACTCAATAGGAAAAAAAATGAACCAAAAAAAAAACCATATTTTTTAAATGGGCAAAGGAAGGGAACGGCAGGGAGAATACGATGGACTATATGATGGAGGGTTATAGGCCCTTTGGAGGAAGGAGGGCTATGGTGACTGTGGGGTGAGGGAATGGCATCCTGTACTGTCAAACACTGCCAAGGATGTAAAATAATGGCACTTCAATAACAATATAAATTTAAAAAAACACATACATAAATTAATAAAAATGGGCAAAGGATCTAAATAAACATTTTTCCGAAGAAGACATAAAAACACCTGAATAGGAATATAAAGAGATGTTCAAGATTAAGATGATTGACGCAAGAACGCCAGTCAACCAGTTAAGAAGTTTCACACAAAGACAAGCTTAGAGGGATAGAAAAACAAATAGGTTACAGATTCACACAGAATTCGACTTGATCCTACTTTATCACTTACAGGTTGCATAACCATGGACAAGTTACTTAATCTCTCTGAACACTCGTCTCTTCATCTCCAAAATGGAGCTATTATTGTAGGATTTAAGGGAAGTTTTCTTTAAAATATATTTATATATGTATTTTTATATCATTGTTCAATTTTGTACAATGTATGCTTGCCTCTCAAGGGTATTCCACATAAAATTCCCACTAGCATTTCACCCATGTACCACCATCATAGTCTCTTGCATCCTTCCCTCCCCTGTTTTGATCCTCTGCCTTCCCCTCCCTTGCAGAATGTCTCTGATTAATAGTTGCCTGCTAATTTTGTTGGTTTAAGAGAAGTTTTATAAAATATCTAGCATATAATAAATTATTTGTTTTTAAAGCACTACTAATTCAGAGGATCATAAGAGATTAGTATATACTTTTTTTAAACATTTATTTATTTATACAAGCACTGGGTACAGTCAGAAGTGCGGGAGGGTGAGAGAATTCACCAGAGGCAGAGCAGGGAGCAGAACAGGCAGAAGGACCGAAGCACACTCCTGAGGGGAGCAGCGGGCGGCAGGAGAGGTCTGCGCGCCATGTGGGACCCTCCCCCCGGAGGCCGGGGATGGAACCAGCGCTGTAGAGGCTGCGGGCACCTTCGCAACCCAGCGCTCAACTCCTGAGCCACCAGGGAGGCCCCTAGTATATGCATTTATTGCTAGTAAGTTGAACAACCAAAAAGGAATGGACAAATTCTTAGAAATATGCAACCATCTGAGACTGAATCAGGAAGAAACAGAAAATCTGAACAGACCAATTAGGAGCAGGAAATTTTAAAAATAATCAAAAGTCACACAAAAAACAAAGCCGAAAACCAGACCACTACTGAGTTCTACCAAACCTATCAAAGATGAAAAAATACCTATCCTTCTTAAATGCTTCCTAGAAAGTATCCACTTTTTCCAAAAAATTGTGAAAGGGAATAATGCCTAATATATTTTTTGAGGCCATCATTACCCTGATACCAAAACAAGAAAAAGACACCACCAAAAAAAGAAAACTACAGACCAATTTCCTACAGACAAACATAGATTAAAAATTCTAAATAAAATCCTAGCAAATGGAGAGCAGAACGGGCAAATCTACTGAAATACGCTGCTGAGTGGAGCAGTGGGTGAGACAGGAGAGGTCTGCTGTGCCATGTGGGTCAGCTCTCTGGCCAGGGATGTAACTCAGGCCTCAGTGGTGATAACATCTCTCTCACATACACACCCCCACGTCTGGCCTATACCCCAGTTCTTCTATTGTTATAGGGCAACCCCGATATAAAATGGGTTGCCTGGCTATGGGTCCTCACCTGTGTGCTTAAAAGGGATTTATTAATACTCCACTACAGGCACACACAAAAGGTTAATAAAAGGTTTATTTACAAGGAAAGGGAATTAAGGAAATGTACAACTCAGGGAGAAAATAGGGAAATAAAGTCTTTAATGCGCCCTACCCAATCCCCCACCTGGAAACCCAAAGGCACTCTGCGAGCTGGCAGAGAGCCAAAATGGGGGATCCCCTCCAAAGCCCACATGTCTGGCTTTATAGCAAACCTGGCTGCTTAACCCCACCCTCAGGTCCCAGCCACCTTCCCTTTGGTGGTGATGGGATTTGGAGTTCCCAGTGTCTTTTGGCTTTGGTCTGGAGTGGGGGGTGGAGTCTATAAAGCCTGTATGGAATTAGCTTTAGGACATCCTTTTCCCCCTAACACTATGAATAAATAAATAAATCTTTAAATAAATAAGTAAATAAAATATTAGCAAATGGAATTCAATAATTGATTGAAATCATTCACAATAACAAAGTGGAATTTATTTCAGGGACAGAGGATGTTTCAACATCTACAAATAAATCAATGTAATTCACCACATTAACAAAAGGAAAGAGGGCCTCCCCTGGTGGCGCAGCGGGTTGAGCGCTGGGCAGGGAAGCTGCCCGCGGCCTCTGCAGTGCTGGTTTGATCCCCGGCCACCAGCAAGGGTCCCATATGGTGTGACAGATCTCTCCTGCCGCGCCCACTGCTCCCCTCAGCAGTGTATTTCGTCAGTCTGTCTGTTCTGTTCCCCACTCTGGCTCTAGTGAATTCTCTCACCCTCCCGCGCTTCTGACTATACCCAGTGCTTGAATAAATAAATAAATAAATCTCAAAAAAAAAAAAAAAGGAAAGATAAAAATCATGTGAACACATCAATAAATGCTGAAAAAGCATTTGATAAGATTCAGCATCCATTTATGATAAAGACTGACCCCAAAATTAGGATAGATGGAACATACCTCAACAAACTAAAGGCTATATATGACAATCCCACAACTAATATCATTCTCAATGGTGAAAAATTGAAAACTTTCCACAAAGATTTGGAATAAAACAATTCTGTCCACTCTCACCACTACTAATCAACATGGTATTAGAAATCCTAGCTAGAGCATTAGGTAATGCTGAACTGATATATATATATATGTGTGTGTATATATATTATAAATATATGTATATGTATATATATAAATATATAAATATGTGTGTGAGAGAGATGTGTATGTATATAGCTCACACACACATATTTATGAGACATGAGATACTTTATCCATGTTACAAAAATGCAAATTTTATTGTCTTGAACATTTAGTAGGAGAGGAGAGAGTAAATAAAAGTCAAGAGTGAAAGTGCAAACTATGGAATACAAACACTTGGCAGATTTTATTTATACGGACACCCTAACCCCTTTATAAACTTATCTAGAAAGGCAAATACCAGAAATCCCTTAATATATTCTTTGAGTTTTCCATGATCCCTAGGATATTACGATTCCCCCTCAAAACCATTGTCCTAAAGCTAAATTGTTCAAGGAAAACAAGTAATGTAAGCAAATTGAAAACAATGTAGCAATCTATTTTAGTTAATCAACATAAATAAATAAATGATCAAAATATAATTCAGCCCATTTCTGTGACCTAAAAATTATTTTTTGTCTCCTCCTTTCCACTCCAGTCTTCTTTTATTTCCAAGACTTATGTCAGGTCACAGATACAAAAGCCCATTTTATCATACACTGTTTACTTTAATATACCGAAAAAATACAATAATGCTTTTATATTCCATATGGACAGTTATGTCAGTAGGTAAAAAGCACTGTGATCTATTTCATATAGGAAAATGAGAGTATTTTATAGCCTCAGTTTAGTTTATGGACATTTCACAAAACCTACCAAAGTTCTAAAAGATTTAAAGTTTATTTTCTATAATTAATAAATTGATCATATGTCTCTCCATTTCTAATTCCTCAATTCCAATTCTACCAAATTGTTCTACATTGTTTAAAAATCTCTGGAAGATTAATCTTTTGGTCATAATTTTTAAATGAGTGTAATAATTGATTATGTATATCAATAATTCATTGTCTAATCAGAAATAAAATTTTAACCCATAAGAGAAGTTTAATAGCAATTTTAACTACAATGTACAAAATTAATGATATCATAAGATCAAAAGTTAAATTTCAAGGTGGCTGTACATTCAAGAACTTTGGACAATTTTAAAGAGAAAAAAGCACTAAAATAAAAAGCATATATTTGTGTCTATAAAATTGTACGTAATTATACATTACTTCTCTACATTTTCACCTAAATTGAGACAGTACAATATTAATCAGAAAAATTGTTTGCAAAACATATTTTTAAAAACCGTGAAATAACAATAACTTTTAGTTCCAATACAAATTAATCTTACTCAAAAGAAAACAAAGAAAATTAAAAGACACTGGAACTATGAGTACTAAATTATTCTGCTTTCACATAGGGGGAAAGTATGGCAATACAATTCTGTGATCCCTATATATTCAAAGTTTCAATTAGCATTGATGATTTTGACTTTATCATATGCAATTTTCTTATTAGTAAGAAGATCTCATAATAGCATCGTTAAACAATTGAGGCCCTAAATTCCCATGGCTGAGAATTTTCAATAAAGGAAACTTACTTATAATAACACAATGACTGAATTTTGTGTCAGATTTTTTTCAAATTTTGAATATTTCAAATAGCACCCACTTACTTTTCAATTGCATGGGTAGATGGGATTAAAGAAAACGCAGTTGTACTAAAGGAGTTTTCTGCCACTCAATTGCCAGTGTAGTTATGCATGAAGAATTCTTCTTAAGTCTAAAGAGAACAGAATGCATTTGAAAGCAGAATTGACCCCCTTGATTCAATTTTACAAATGGAAAGATTCAAGATTCAGGTCACTATGGACCCTTTTCCCTACTCAAAAAGAGACCCTCTCTATTAATGACTACTAAATGGTTCACATTTTTAAGTGTGCGACATCGTGGCCTCATTACACATTTGGTTTTTGAGGAAAACTGCATTTCCTTCACAGGGAAATATTTTAAATGTTCAATTCCTTGATTATATGTTTTTTAAATACTGAGTAACTGTTTTTGTAATGTAAGCTCAGGCAGCCTATAAACTGTTATCAGTAAGAGTTTTGTACCTGATGGAAAATCATTCTAAAGATTTTTTCTTTAATCTGAAAAATAATGTCATCACTGTGAATTCAACCCTACAAAGGCAAGAATTACATTGTGTTGTTAAAATGTTAACAACTGCATTTCAATTCTTGAAAAGGCAATTTAATTTCCTGAATTAAAGAGTTGATTATATCTCTTATTACTGTTAAAAGAATTTGAAATATCATAAAGTGTAAGAGTTACACCATGTGCCAACTATCAACCAGGAAAAATGAACCTGATTCATAATTCACTTTGAGAGTGTCTAGTTAGTCAATCAAGTGATTTGTAATCATGAAGGCTGCCAGAAATTGAATGAATAATGAGCCACAGTAAAATCCCTGGATTTTTTTTTTTTTAGTATTCTTATTTCATTATGTGACTTTTATTGCCATTTTTGATCGCTGTTTCTCAGCAGCACAAATTAAATCACACATATTTACTTAGAAGTTTTTGACTATTTAATAAGCTAAAGGATATACAAGTTGAATGACCAGTGCATTAATTTTTCTATAAAATTAAAAGTCTTAGTGCTATAGTTTGAACAAAGATTTCATTCTTTCCAACCCCCTCAATATTTGCCTCATTTCATTTAAATTGTTTAGTGAATATGCTATTTCAGCAAAGCTCACTCTATATTTTCTAAAGTTGTCATTATATAGTGTAAAACAAATAAAAACATTTAAAAGAATCTAGTTAATATTAGAAGCTTTAATTTTATAGTTCTTCTTCAGTTAAAACTACAATATAAAGCTGAGGGCCAAAGAACAGTTGACCTCTAAATATATATTCTCATTAAATTATAAGCAGAGGGGGCCGCCTCCCTCTTGGTCTAGGGGTTAAGTCTCAGTGCTACCAATCGCAACGGCCCAACACAATGGCCTGAGTTCCATCCCTGGCCAGGGAGTTAACCCACATGGCACAGCAAACCTCTTCTGTCTCACCCGCTGCTCCCCTCAGCAGTGTATTTCAGTAAATCTGCCTGTTCTGCTCCCTACTCTGTCTCTGGTGAATCCTCTCACACCCCTGCTCCTCTGGCTTACACCCCAGTTCTTCTGTGCAAAAATAAACCCTTGTAAAAAAAAAAGTAAAAGCAGACAAAATATTAACCAACTTAAAGTTTAGCAAACTGCAAAAGGAGTAATATGATAAGTTAGTGTTTTTCAGAATATAAAAGTACTGAGCTGGAAAAGGTGGGAGGGCACACAGTAGACAGTGGTGGAGGACTGTTGGTGGTAGGTGTGGTATAGGAACAGACAGCTGAAAAAGAGGGATCTTGTATTTCTGAATCATAATCAGTATTATAAACCAATATTATCTTTTTTTTATTTTTTAATAAGTTTTTTTTTTTTAAGTTTTATTTATACAAGCACTGGGTATAGTCAGAAGCACGGGAGGGTGAGAGAATTCACCAGAGCCAGAGCAGGGAACAGAACAGGCAGACCGATGAAATACACTGCTGAGGGGAGCAGTGGGCACGGCAGGAGAGGTCTGTCACGCCATGTGGGACCCTCACCAGTGGCCGGGCATCGAACCGGTCCTGCAGAGGCTGCAGGCAGCTTCGCAGTCCAGCACTCAACCGCTGCGCCAGCAGGGGAGGCCCTCTTTTCATTTTTTTTTAAGATTTATTTATTTATACATACAAGAGCTAGGGTACAGGCCAGAGATGCAGGGGGGTGAGAGGATTCACCAGAGACAGCGTGGGAAGCAGAACAGGCGGACCAACTGAAATACACTGCTGAGGGGAACAGCAGGCAAAAACAGGAGAGGTCTGCTTCACCATGTGGGTTTCTCCCTGGCCAGCCGTGGATTGAACTCGTGCTGCAGAGGCTGTGGATTGCTCCATAGTGCGGTGCTTAACCCCTTGCACCACCAGGGAGGCCCTCAATGTAATCTTTTTAAAAACTATCTTTTAATTGTCATTCTGATCATTTTGGCCATTATGAGCATTTTAATCATAGTTTTAAAAAATTAAACAAATAAATTTGGTTGTTCAAGATAACAAAATTCCAGACATACACCATACATGGACACTAAGTAGGTATTTTGATTATGGTAAGATCTCAGGAACATTCCACAATGAGTGTTCCCCAAAAGTGTAGCAGCACTCCACCAAGGAATTCACTTTATCACCATTATCACCCCACTGAGAGGATCATCTTTTCTTTCCTAGAGATATTAATCATTCATTCATTCAACAACTGCTTATTAAGCATCTACTGTGTTCCAGGTATTATGCTCAAATCTAGGCACACATAAATGAATTAGGCACATAGCCTCTGTACTTGAATTAGGCACACAAAAATGAATTGGCACATAGCCTCTGTACTAAGAAATCTATAGTCTAGTTAGAGAGAGACATTCAAACAAATAAGTGCAATAAAATTTATGCTCTGGAATAGACCTATGTACTAGGAAGGATCAAAGAAAGTAAAGTTCAATGACAGTGGTTAGTATTCTGGAAAGGCTTTAAAGAGATAACAAAGCTGAGTGAATGAAAAGTTGGTACTTACCAAGGAGCAAAGTGGAAAGATCATAATGATAAGAAGGAAAATATTAGTGAAGACAAAAGTGCCAAATAACTAATTATGATAAGATATCTAGAAGCTATTCAGTTTAACTGAGGTCAACATATAAAGAGTATGTGATGTTAGGCGATAAGGGAGATAACTGCCAGATGTGCCTAAAGCAGTATGCAATGGCCCAATAATAAAAGGCCGTGTATGTACACTAAAAAGAACATAATCTAGTATCTTACAGAAACCACTGAAGGATTTTAAATATGAAAAGCAAGGACAGGATTTCGACAACATCGAAATAATTTATGCATTTGGCTTTCCTTGACAATGGTCAAACTAACCTTCTGCATTTCATTATGTATCTGTTAGAAACTAATATTACCATTTGCCTACCTATTTATATTTCAATGTACATTATCTTCCAGAAAAAGTTCTCAGCCTCTGGCAAATGGGTTAATTAAACAGCAATTCCACTACCTGAAGAGCGGACCAGATACTAAAGACACACCATATTTTCCAAGGAAGAATCATCAAGATTCTAATTAAGAAATTCTTACATATAATATATCCATATGTGTACATACACAATGTTAAATATACACTGGTAAACTCTCAAAATTTATGTTCACGGAAAATTAGAAAATCATGTTTTAAGTCAGACATTTTGGTGTGTCTCAATTGGTAGGATGAAGTCATTTTGAACTAGTCAGACTACGCTTCAGAAGTGCATCTGCTTAGATGCCAGTTGCAGGCATAAGAGCTTCATACAGCTCAATCAACATTTATAAGAAGAGATATAAGCAAAATCTCTGAGGTCAGGTAGAGAATCCTGTGTTAGCCATTGACCTTATGCAAATTATTAAACTCTTGATTCTTAGTTTCCTTATTTATAAACCTACTATAATTATTCCTACTCCATACAATGTGAAAATATAATGAAATCTATAGAAAGCACTTAGCATAGACCTGAGCAAATATTATTTAGTGAGTAGTATTTATTATGATAACTATAGTAAATTATTCTAACTATGATAAATTTGACTAAACTCACATTTATATACCAAATAATTTTCTTTGAAGTGCTTTATAATACTAATGAAATTTCCAAAGTCTAATCCAACTGAAAATATTTGAGGTTAGCTTAAAGTGAAAAAATAGTAATGAAAAACATTGAGATAAATCATCTAAAAATAATGTCTCAAAAGAATAAGATTTGAAAAATACATCAAGTTAGACTTAATAATTACTTCAGAGTATGGGAAGGGAGAGTCTAATCTTACTATAGAACTATTGAGAGCCTTTTTGTGGCAAAAAAAAAAAAAAAACTGTACAATCAAACCTTTTCTCCAAATATAGTGCCATGTTACTCCTTTTTTTTTTTTAATGGCCTCTTTCAAAAACATTTAGTTCAAATAGTGAGGATGTTTATAATCATATAATGTCAAAGATATATCATGTAAGGATCTCCTCTCTAAAGTTAGGTCTTCCATGCAACCTATGAAGGTATCCACAGCCACCACAGCACAAGTTCGATCCCCCAGCCAAGGAGATACCCACATGGCACAGCAGACCTCTCCTGACTCACCCGATGCTCTCCTCAGCAGTGTATTTCAGTCACTCCACCTGTTCTGTTCCCCACTCTATCTCTGGTGAATCTTCTCACCCCCTCACAACTCTGGCCTGTACCCCAGTTCTTGTGTGCATAAATAAATAAATCTTAAAAATAAATAAAGTCTTCCATTTGACCTCACTGAGCGTTAGTTTTATCAGTTTTTGACATTTGGATTTGTTTAGACTCCAAAAGAAAAAAGATTTTAAAATAACAATAGCAAACAACAAAATGCACAACACTAGCATAGCAAGACTATGAAAGTAAATTTACCTTGACAACCTGACAATGGGAACAACTCAAGTGAAAACAACTAGAATAAAAAGGACCAAAGTAACAGCAGTAACTGTAGCAAGTTACTTACATATACTCACATATATTTATACATTATACACATGTACTTCGTGGTTAGATCAGATTGGGTCAAGTCACAAATGTAATTAGCACAATAAAATGAGGTTGTGATTACTAGATATACATTAAATGATATTGACCTGAACTATACATTGTTATGTAAATATATTACAAACTCTTCTACTATTACATATATGCAGTCACTCACTATATCTCTGGGATAGCAAGCCTATAGCAAGTATAAACAATGCCTACCAGTTAAAAGAACAAATAAATAATCTATTTGAAAATGGAAGAAAATCTTTAGAATGACACTACAGTAATCCTGAAATGTCCTTACACCAGTAATGTATTTTAAAATAAATCTAAATAAGTATATGACATAGGTGTTTCTGTTCTAGTCAATATTCAGATAAAATTCATGAGTTATTAATTAGCTAGTACGCTATCTAGAAATAAGAATGGAGGTAAGAGAGAAGCTAATCAAACAACTTTTAGGTATATTCCTGAACACAAAATAATTAATTCCATTCTTTTCCACTGTTAGGTTGATTTCTGTGCAATTACTGAAATTCAAGTAATAGAGCATACTAGTACAACATCCCAATAATGTTTTACAAAACAAAGTTAAAGCCAAAATGTTATTTGATAACACTGAAAACACAAAGTAATATTAGCGTGAACTTTCTTGTATAAAGATGACACTGACTCACCATCAACAGCGATGAAATTCAAGTTGTTTTCCCGCATTGGGATGAACTCGTTGATCCAGTCAATTCTCTTGCCAAAACTCCCTGGTGAACAACAGCTTATATCTGCAAGATGAGCGTGCCAGTGGTCACCAAAAATACAGCAAAATAAAATGATCAAAATAGAAACGAAACTCGTGCCTTGTTCCCAAACCAGTCACAGTAATATGTAAACACTCTAGAATACTAACTTACAAAACTGCACATGTATTTGCTGATAAAGTCATTGTGTTCTATACATCATTAACATAAAAATACAAATGATAGCAGCTTGACCTTTATACCTAAGTAAAAATGTTCTCAGCAGTCTTAACTTAAACAAAGATTGTTTCTTCCACATAATATCAGAACTGCAGAGTGAAAATGTTCAAACTATGAATGCATGCCAACTCTGCAGCCCTCATCACCAGTAGCAATAATTAATGAAAGTATTGAATATTTTTGTTAATGTTAGCAATATTCTCAATAGCATTAATTGCAGTATCCCTAGTCTTTCATACTTCCAAGAAATCTGAAGAATATTTCTACTTACTTAGCTACTAGCTACTGTGTTCATGTGAAAAAGAGGTTTTGTAATTAAATATCTTACTGACTCTTGACATGGAATTTTCTCAGTTGCCAGTGAACTCTCCTTCAACTTGAATTGGAGTGCTGGTTAAACATTACTTGAAGACATAGCTTTTTAAGTATAAGTAAAATTAATGCTATGTGCTTCTTTATTAAAAGAATAAGAAAATAGATTAATACCTGTTAAATCAATAAGAAGCAATGAACAACTAGGCACACTTCAAAAAAAATCACAAACCTAAATGTCTGTGGTGAGCAAAGTACTCACTATTTTGGGGTTCTATGAACAGCAATAAAGTAACAAGGCATAGTACACAATTGCAAAGAAATCACAATAGCAATATTATTGAAGCATTGCACTCTTAATTCTACATAGTTGTTTGCAGTAACAGCTAATTCTCATCCAGACCCTCTGCTATAGCAGGAAGGATGAAGTGTAAAAGCACATCATACCAGAGCAAAGTTTGAAAGATGATCTCTGCACAGAGATAAGGTTGTAGGGCTCCTTTTGCAAATAGATATAAGGAAATGTCAACAGAAATGTTGAGATCATCTGATATAACCTCCGATGGTGATCCACTGCCACCTGTTAAACATACCAACTTTGTAAATTTTAACATTATACAAATGTTTCCAATCACAATATTGTTTTAATGGGTCACTTTCTTTAATAACTATTCATTCCTGACCATCGGCCCACACCAACTCACCAAAACTAGGAGTCCTCTAGGAGTCTGCAAATTCCTAAGTTTCCTGCTCGTTTTGGTTTCTTACTTCCATAATACCTAGCAGAGCACCTTACCAATTGTAAATGCTTAATATTTGATAAGTTGAAATGAGCTAATAAAATCACTCCCTCACATATCATCCCCCACCCCAATTATCACGATTCTAGCCAAAGGCATCATCCTGGTAGAACAGTATTAGATGAAAAGATAAGGTTATTTATTTAGTCAGCAGACACCTGTATTCCATGAGTTACCATGTTAAGTGCCATGGATATTAGTGTAAATAACACATTATCCCTACCCTTAAAGAACTTAATCTAGGGACCTCCCTGGTGGTGCAAGGGGTTAAGTTCCACACTGTGAAGTAATTCAGAGACTCTGCAGCACAAGTTCAATCCCCAGCCAGGCAGGGAGAAACCCACAAGGTGCAGCAGACCTCTCCTGACTCTCCTGCTGCTCCCCTCAGCAGTGTACTTTGGTCAATCTTCCTGTTCTGTCCCCCACTCTGCCTCTGGCGAATCCTCTCACCCCCTGCATCTCTGGTCTATGCCCCAGCTCTTGTATGCATAAATAAATAAATCTTAAAAAAAAAAGAACTTAATCGAGTAGGAAAGATAAAGATGGATATTAGTCTCTCTATACTCATAATCAATCCCATAACAAGTTTTGTAGAAAGTGCAACTGATAGTGGGTCTCCCTGCTATCAGTGCTATTACCTCCATGGCCTGAGTTCCATGCCCAGTTAGGGAGCTAAGCCACATATGGTGCAACAGACCTCTCCTGTCTCACATACCACTCCCCTTAGCAGTGTATTTCAGAAGATCAGCCTGTTCTGCTTCCCATTCTGTCTCTGGTGAATCCTCTCACCCCCTGCACCTCTGGCCTACACTCCAATTCTTCTACAAAATAAATAAATAAGGCCTCCCTGGTGGCACAGGGGTTAGTCTCAGTGCTATCAAGCTATCACCAGCCACTGTGGCATGAATTCAATTCCTGGCCAGCAAGCTAATGCACATGGCACAGCAGAATTCTCCTGTCTCACCCGCTGCTCCCCTCCGCAGTGTATTTTAATAGATCTGCCTGTTCTGCTCCCCACTCTGTCTCTGGAGAATCCTCTCACACCCCCGCTCCATACCTCTGGCCTACACCCCAGTTCTTATATGCATAAATAATTTTTTTTAATTCAGATATGACTCATTAATAGATATTATATATATTATTATATCAATGGTTGACAAACTGCAAACTTATGTATATAACCACTATTAAAGAGTGTTCAGATTTATTATCTCAGAAAAATTGCCTATTGTTATGGATTAAATTGTGTTCCACAAAAGATTTTGAAGTCCTAACACTCAGTACTTGTGACAGAGACTTTATTCAGAAGTAAGATCTTTACAGGTGTTCAAGTTAATATGATGAGGTCATGAAGATGGGCTCTAGCCCAATATGACTGGTGTCATATTTGGAAATAAGGGAAATTTGGATGCAGAGAAACATACACAAAAAGGACACCAGTAAAGATGGAGATAGAGATTGGAGTGATGTATCTGCAAGTTAAATCAAAATTGCCAGCAAACCACTGCAAGCTTGGAGACAGGCATGTCCTCACAGACCTGAGGAGGAAACAACCCTGTCAAAACCTAAATGTTGGACTTCTACCCTCCAGAACTGGGAGATAATTTTCCTGTTACTTAAGCTACCCAATTTTTAATACTTTGTTACAGCAGCCCTAGCAAAATAATATACCTACTAAGGGAAACCATGACTTTTTCCCCCTCAAAATGACTAAAAAAAATTCTGAGGATGATAAATCAGAAATAATAGTTTCTTGCTATTCATATTTGAATCTGGCAGCAAATATGCTATTTAATAGCTAAGTCAATCTAGCACCAAAAACCTCTAAGTATAGATATGACTCATCCTTCTTCCTATAGGATACCATTTATATATATAGCATCACATAACCAAGATTCAGAGAATGTTATTATCTAACAGATATTGAGACTGAGAATAACACAAAATTATATAGATTTTCCTTTGTTTTGCAACAAAGTTGCTCTATGCATGTTTATGAAGCTGTGAGAAAAGGACTTTACCTATAATAAAATCAAAAGGTAGCACAATGAGTTTCTTGATAAGGACAAATGAAGTCAGCATAGATCAGGAACAGGCTTCGGAGGACATGGGCTCAGTACAAATCCACTTCTGTTACTCATCAGCTATGTGACCTGGGCAAATAACTAAAGTGAGCCTCAAATTCTTCATCAGTAAAATGGGAATTTAACATTTTACATATTATAAATGGGTTAACTAATATATGAAATGTGTTTAGCGTATAATGATGATAATAAGGTTTTACAATTTATATAAAAAAAGTAAATTCAAAATGAAAGGATTTTTTTCTAAAAGAATTGAGGCTATGGGGTGAGAGGGAGAGCAAAGTAGGAAGGGGACTTTGGGGGAGGACTCAGTGTCAGCGGTGGATGTACTGCAGGAACATGTACCTGAAGGGTGCAATCCTGTATCTCTAAACCATCTACAGGGCTATAAGCCAATGTTACCACAAAAATAAAAATAAAAATAAGAACTAAAAGGGATTTTATATTTTTCTTATGTAAGACAGATCATTAGGTAAACTTACATAAGAACAAACTTCTTAATTATCCATACTATAGGGGGGCTCCTGGTGGCACAAGGGGTTAAGATACAATCTATGAAGCTATCTGCAGCCTCTGCAGCACAAGTTCGATCCCTGGCTGGCCAGGGAGCTACCCACATGGCAAAGCAGACCTCTCCTCACTCACCTGCTGCTCCCCTTAGCAGTGTACTTCGGTTGATCTGCCTGTTCTGTTCCCCACTCTCTGGTGAATCCTCTCACCCCCCATACCACTGGCCTGTACCCCAGTTCTTGTATACATAAATAAATAAGTCTTAAAAAAAGATCAAAGCAATATTTTTTAAAAAATTATCCATACTGTACATAAAAATATTGCATTTGGCTAGTTCCTTATATAATGCAGGACTTTCAGAATTTTTAACTATCTGTCAAAACTCAAAAAGCATTTAAAGTTGATATTAGAACTGAAATAAAAATCGGATCTTAGTGACTTTTGACTCTGTCACAGACATCAGTCAGTGTGCAGCGTTCAATGCTCTATTATATTACTCCCTTATTTGTCAGATTGCTAAGCTGTAATCAGTCTGAAAAAACTACCTTTACAATTTGGAATGATATCAGGTTAACTCTAATAGTATGGTAAAATACACTTTCACCACAACCAGGTCCTACTGATGTACAGAGGATTTGCCTGTTTTTAAATATACATCTTATAAAGTTAAAATACACGTCTCAAAAATGTAATTAAATGAAAAGGGAATTATTTTGGAATGCTTATACTTGTTTTGAGAAATTTGTGAATAATACAAACCCCAATCATTCACCAAAGTTCAAAAGGACCTTGTAATATCATGCAAACATCCTACACAAGATTCAAGCTATACTTTGATTGCTAATTGCAATACTTGTAAACTGAAATGTATTTCTATCTACATATAAATAATAGAAATTGCATAATAAAGTACAAAAAGACTGCAATTATTATTAAGAAAAATGTTATTTTGGCTGAACTTTTTATCTAAAACAGCAGTCTACATTGGTCAGATTTGTTTTGAAAAATGTATCAATAATCCACTTCTTGTAAGAAAGCCAAGTAATAATTATTTTCAGTATCTTTTAATAAACTGGCAAACTTTAAAAATGTGTGTAATGCATTAATTCCATAATGCCAGCATGAAAGTTAATGTAGGATTCAGACCAAAGGTATATACCTAAATAATTATGAAAACATATTTTGCCTTGATACTTAGTGTAGTTCCTAACTTTAACTCAAATAACCTTTATTAGTTGAGATTTTTTTAAAAATGAACCTCCTTGTTACCAACATAAAGACCACTTTTCAGAAAACATTGTCATGCTATATATTTTTATTTACAGAGAGATAACTTGATTGACATTCTTATTTAAATAAAATGGTAATTTTTTAAAAATGGTGTATTTTTTAAATTCCTAGATCTAATTTTCTAAAAACTCATTTAAACTTAACAAATACCATATATTATTTATTCAAGAAACTATATTAAGACTAATACAACATTTAAGCTATTGAAATTACAATTCTAAGAATTTTTCAAAAGGCAAAGAACAACGACGAAACACTAAATACATTCTTTTTTTAGTTTTGAGATGTGACATACATTACTGTATAAGTTAGAATTTGACTTACCTAAATATATTTTTACTTTTAATATCCTAATATAGTAATATTGATAAAATCACACAAATACATTATATCAATAAAATATAATCTGCTCAACTATTGGCAAACAACCATAGGAGTTATTATCACCCTATGGGCAGGGACTATGCTTTGATCTACCTCAATTGCCTTAGGTATGCCAAGATCTGGATAAACAGGTGTTAATTATCTATACCTTAGGAACAATAAGCATAACAGTAATAGTATTCTCCTAAGAATCAAATAATGGGAAAATCCTAAAGAACTGAATATTCCGAACAGGCCATAAACAAAATTTTACAAGCTGCAAATCTAACATTGGTAGAAGAAAATTATACCCCTTTTACCCACAAACTGAGGTCACATCTGGAAATTGTATATTTGTTTTGTCAATAAAAATAGGCAATCAGGGCCTCCCTGCTGGTGTAAGAGGTTAAGGTGCAACCTATGAAGCAATCCACAGCCACTGCAGCACGAGTTCGATCCCTGGTCAGGGAGATGCCCACATGGCACAGCAGACCTCTCCTGACTCACCCACTGCTCCCCTTAGCAGTGTATTT